AAGCAGCTGTTCTTATTTTACCTTTTTTTCTTTTTTTCCCAGTTGTACATCTGCAGTTAGAGCCATTAAAGTTGAAAGTGAAAAGTCAGGGAGTCTTATTTTGCATAGGCAGCCACACCCCTGAACTGTTAAATGTGCTGATTGAGAGGATATATAGAGGACAAGTTGCTCACGGATCCAGTGGGTGGGGAAGCGTCTTTACCAAGGTGATAGCAAAGACGTTCTCACAGTATCACATTGGAAACACAACTGCAGGAGGGCCTAGGCCAATGGAAGGCTGAGAAAGGGAGACCAGTTCACTGAAACTTAATCTCCTGAGGAAGAATTTGCCCAGTGGTTAGTCCAAAAATTTAATAAAATTTTTCTGGAGTTTTCATTTTGCCACTGCTTCTGTTCATATCTTAGAGAAGGCTAGACAAACTGGGGTAAGTGGTTCTAGGATGATTTGTCACAATTTAAACTGCATTTAAAAGAAAATCTGTACCTTCACATGTGAAAACAAAGGCAAAGTGATATTGACAGGAAAATTCAAATAGCGATCCTAGCATCAGTCCTACACATTCATAGGTGTCTGCCACATGACAAAAGTGGCAAGGAGCAAATAATGGACTTCTTAGTAAATTTCAAGGAGGCAACTGAATGTCCATCTAGAAAAGAAATAAAATTGTATCTCTAGCTCATATTTGATAGTAGTAGATCTATTAAACATGCCAACGTGAAAAAACAAGACTACGAAGTTTTTAGAGAAATGATTTGGGATGCTATCTTCATGACCTTAGAGCGGGGATAAAGGACTAGTATTCAGCATAAAGAAAGAACTCCCACAAATCAATAAGAAATATCATATGAAATATCAGCACAATGGGGGTAGGGGGAAGGATAAAAGACCTGAAGATATGTTTCACGGAAAGGAAATTCAAATGACTAACACAAGATGATATAGAAATATGCTCAAACGCATCAGTCATTAGAGAACTGCAAGTTAATGATATTGTAAAGTAAAATTATAAAACAATTAGCTTCTCAATATATTTTTTAAAATTTGATAATAGCGAATATTGGTGAGAACATGGAACTGGGTTGGAAGTGTCAACTGGCATAAGTTCTTAGGAAAACAGTTTGGCATTACTTGTGTGTGTGTGCTCAGTTGCGTCTGACTCCTTGTGACCCTATGGTAGCTCACCAGGCTTCTCTGTTCATTGGATTTTTCAGGCAAGAATACTGGAGTGGGTTGCTATTTCCTTCTCCAGAGGATCTTCCTGATCCAGGGATTGAACCCACATTTCCTGTGTCCCCTGCATTGGCAAGCAGATATTTTACCACTGAGCCACCTAATAAAATGTAATAAATCTATGCCCCAGCAATTCCACTCACAGGTAATGGGAGAAATTTGCATATTCCCCAAGAGGCACATGCAGAATTATTCACCATATCATTATAAGAGCCCTAAACTGGAATAATCCCAAACTCCCGTTAAGAGTAAGATGAATGTAGATATTATGGCAAACTCATTCAATGAAACACATTCTAGGATAATTTCCCACAATTTAAACCGAATTTAAAAGAAAATCTGTACCTTCATATGTAAAAACAAAGATATATTGACAAAAGAATTCCATTAAACAACCTAGCATCAGACCTATACACATACAGACATCTGCTTCAAGAAAAAGGTAGCAAGGAGTAAGAGAGGACTTTTTAGTAAACTTCAGTGTTAAAGATAAACTATGTATAGATTCAACAACTTTAATGAACCTTACAAATAGGTTTGAACAAAAGGAGCAATTTGGAAAAGAAAACATAAAATCATAATTCTATTTACATAAGCTTCAAAACCATGAAAAATAAGCTTTTACAGAGGTACATGCAGAAAATTATTATAACAAAAGTCATAAGAGTATTTACCCTTACGGTGATAATGTAAACAGGTTTCTGTGTTTCTGCTAATTTTGCCAGTGATGATGGTTACAAGGAGTATTTATAATTATTCTTTAACCTGTTCAGAAGTATTTTATGTACTCTTCAGATATATTGCACAAGGCAAACACACACTGCGAGGGGATAAATCAAGTAACAGAAAACTTCCCTAAAGTGTGTTATGAAATCATTCTCATTTGACAATAAAAATGATTAATTATATGAACATAGGAAAGTCTACAAAAATATATCAAAATGTTAATAAGCTTTCTTTGAATTGTGGAAACTTTGCTGTTTCTTTCCTTTTTTGTATTTTATGAATTATCTATAATGATGCATATTCACTTACACTAAAAATACATTTATTTTAAAACAATAGAGGCCAAGGAAGGGTTAAGGATGAAAGCATAGCTTAAAATATGTTCAGAAATTTGTCTTTTAGCAAAACGATCATGTAACAGATTTTGGCAAGCAAATCCACAAACATTTGCAAGATAATTCCTATACCATTCCACGAGGTTTGTGAATGAAAAGACAGTTGGCTTTTGAAGAAAAAGCTTTCCTGTATAAGCTCGTGTATACATCACTGCAATGCTCTCCAGAAAGCTAAGTACAAGCCGACACCAAGAATGTGCATTTAGGGATGTTCATACGCTCCTGGCAAGCTGATGAAGGTCTCACACATGTAGGTTACAAGGCATAACATAGACCGGCCAAAAGCTTCCATATGATGGGTTTTGAGGTTTGACACACCAATGTGTGTAAAATGTGTCTGGATTTTTGGAAATGCTTAATTTTTTCCCTTAACATCTAAGCAAAGCTCAGTGGAAAGATCCAACATGGAGAGAGGAAACACAACCTCACCATGACTGCTCTAGGGACGAACCTACTAAGCAACGAAGCAGGATGGTTTTGACAGCTGTACTCGCCCATTCATGTTTTAGGAAAGTTAAAACAGAAGCCATGGCTTTATATAAACGTCTGTTTTTAACAGGCAATAATTAGAACATGTCTGGCTTTTTGTCCCTTTGTTGCCAAAAGGGTGTAATAAATAGGAAGAGGGGCCTCTCAGTGAAGACTGATGCAGGAATGCTTCTCACTCTCCACAGTCCAGAGTGATCCAAATCAAAGAGCTGATTAAGCTGGCCAGTTCTAGGACAGCAAATCTATGACTGATATGCTAATCAAAACACAAATTGCATCTCTAATGATGTGTTGATTTTTCAATCAGCCACTGTGTTAAATACAAAGGTGACCCGCTGGTTGGTTGGTTCTATCAATTAAAGCCCTGGGTTAGGGCAGTTTGGGATTATTTTAAAGGAAGGAGAAGAAAAGGGAGGGATTCAATGTTGTATAGAATTTAAAAGAATGAAATTTGGCAAAATGCAGAGATGTGTTTGTGCACCATCGGCAAAGAAATCAAAATTTTATGAACAGCCAAGCAACTCAAAATTTATTTTGGGGTGATTAAGTTTAATTTATTAACTGGGCCATTTCACTGAAGCTTGGTTGAAATTTATCATTTTTACTTTTGAGAATGAAAACTAGTTTTCAGAAGATTCTGTGGGGAAGCTGGTTGGATAGAGTTTCCTTAATTAGGGGAAAAAAACATATTACAGCTAATCACCAAATTGATGACTCTAAAGATGCCTATTTTATAAACAGAAACATCCAAAGTTCAATCATGACTCTCACGGCATGTTGAGAACAAGTACATTTCTAACATTTTGCCCCAGAACATCTTTAGAGTTGGCAAAGTGCATAAATACTTCTCTGGGAGCTTCTGCCTCAAACCTTGTTCAAAAGCCCTTATAATAGAACTGCCAGTCATTTCAGAGCATACACTGGTTATTTCTTAAGAAATCATCTCCCATAAGTTTATGATATTTACAGCCTGAACATGAAATAAATATAGTTTTTGTTCAGTAGCATTCATGAATAAGCAGTCATATTTCCCTTTGTGTGCACAGAATTAAGAGCTTTGGAAAAGATTCACCTCTGCAGAAGGATAATTTAAAGGACTGCATAGAAAAAAATTCAGCCCAGTTAGAATTATAAAAGTGTTTCATAATCATCACTGATGCTAGCTTGAAGAAGGATAATTAGAACCTTTAATGTGCAGAACACCTTTTGAAAATATTTCTGGTGACTAATACTGACACCTTCAAATTCAAAGAAAGGCCACTGAGCTGAAAGATGATAACCAAGAACCTTAGCCAAGGTCGTGTAGAAAAGGGAAGTAAAGATTTCCATTCTTCTCAGATGAACTTTCATGCTCTCATTAGATTTACTGCCATCCTGCCATGCAGTTTTGGGGTATAATTTTTCCCCATAAATGTCAAGGATCTGAGAGGGATACGCTGGAATGACAGCTGAAAGAGAATACTTCTTACTTCCTCCCTCTGGTAACTGAAGACTGAAAGCCAGCTTTGGGGACAGTTTTGCTGGTCTACTGAGTCCTAAAATGACCTTCGGGAGAATCAGACCGACATCAGACAGACACCCCTCATGAATACAGGGATCAGTAAACAGAGCTTGGGCTACAGTTCTTTGAGAACACATGTTTCCCTGAATCCAAAGCTCTCTACCCCTGTGGCATTACCTGTTGGTAAATATGCAGTTTAAAGAAGAAATGTAATGGTCACTTAAAACTTGTGATAATAACTAATCCATGGTCAGGAGCCAAGGCTTTTTGGTAGAAATTAAGGCATATGTTGATGCAAGGAAATGAGACTAAAGAATAATTTGCTCATATGCTAAGAAAGCAAAGTGAAGGCGTACACATTGTTGTGTTATTAGGAGACTTCAGTCCACCACAGCGAAGCCTTCCTTTTACTTGTCCTCCTCACTCGCTCTATCCGTCCTCATAGACGCCATTTTTTTTTCCTGTGAACCATGCCCCATCTCTCCACACCTCTTTAGCCCAGAGCTCTTTGAAAGAGTTGCCTGTATTTATCGCTTCCATTTCTTCTCTTCTTGATCTCTCTCTAGCCCACTTTGATCAGGCTCCCTACAATTCTACCAGAGCAACTATCCCCAGCATTCTCCATTGACCCAGCGGGGTCGTCAGTCCTCAGGCCAGGATGACAAGCCGTGGCACGGTATCTCAGTTCTCCTCCCAGCTGCTCCCTCGCGGGTGTAGCCTCCTTTCTCAGATGTCTAGATCTAAGCTGTGTGTTCACTGCTCTTTTGTTCTTTAACCCACAGGTTAGAGTCAACACATATCTGCAGGACTCGGACATTTGGAGAAAAACTTCTGGCACAACCCAATGTGTTACACCTTCCCACTCATTTATCTCCATAGACGATGGAGTCACATAAATACATGGTTCTGTCCAGCTGTGAACGCAACAGCTCAACCCTCACCTCTCACACACACAGTCACGTTATCCGTTAATGATTCTATTTTTTTTTTCAATTGGTTAGCCCTCAAGTCTACAAGGCAAGCAGATGTCTGACATTTAATCAGTGACCCAATTATGGCTTTCTGCTGGCCTCAGCTTATTTTTTAATTTAGGAGAAAATGAATTCAAATTGATTGGGTTTATAGTGAAAAAGAAATTACAACTCTAGTTATTGGTTCTAGCCTTCCCAGGGAAGAAATGACTTAAAAAAAAAAAAAACTTTTTCCCCTAAAATTAAAGGGACAAATTAAAAACCATTATAGTTATTTCAGAGGATACATTTAGTACTTAATAAAAAAAAGTAACAATCAAGAGATGGTTTCCTCAGTATATGCTGGTTCATAGCTGATCAGAGTATTCTTTTACTAAAAGAGTGGGATATGAGGAAGCAATAAAAAAACCTGTCCACAAGAAAGTGTGAACAGGTCACAGAAAATAATGTTTTGGCCAACAGAGAATTACTTTTCTTTTCCTGTTACTATATTTTCATTTCCTATTACACTTTTCAGGATCTTCAATTCTCATCTTTTCCTAATCATGGAAAGTTTCTTTTCACCCTTCTTTTCAGATAAGACCTGTTAGAAGGTGCTACAAAGGATAAGGCCTAAAAGTGTCCAGAGAAGAAAACCGGTTGATAGCTTTCATTGTTAGATTGGATTCTCCTCTGTCTCTTTTGTTGTTTCTTGTTAAAAGCAGAATCATCTTGTGATGAGAGAAAAAAAAAAATAAGGTGACTTAACAACAACCACAGAAGTTTTTAAAACACTGTAAATAGAATTGGTGATAAAGTATAAAGCCTGTGGACCTTTCTTAAAAAACTGTCTTGACTACAAAAGGCAATGCCCCCTGCAAAGTTAAAGTCGCTCAGTCACGTCAGACTCTGCAACACCCTGGACTGTATGGAATTCTCCAGGCCAGAACACTGGAGTGGGTAGCCTTTCCCTTCTCCAGCGGATCTTCCCAACCCAGGGATAGAACCCAGGTCTCCCACATTGCAGGCGGATTCTTTACCAGCTGAGCCACGAAGGAAGCCCACGAATACTGGAGTGGGTAGCCCATCCCTTCTCCAGGGGATCTTCCCGACCCAGGAATCGAACCGGGGTCTCCCGCACTGCAGGCAGATTCTTTACCAGCTGAGCTACCAGGGAAGCCCTGAGAGTATGTGTATTAACCCTTTAACCCCTCTGCAGCTCCCCAGATGGGCTTGTTGGCGCCTTTCCAAGTCAATCTGTGAAATACAGGGAAGGGTCTGGAACATTTAGCTGTAATGAAAATGGGAACACGTATTTAGAATTAGCTATGTTTAAAACACTTTCAACTGGCTAAAAAAATCCATGTTTCTGGAGAATGAGACATCTGCTAGAGAATAAAACCATCCATTGTGAGATTCTGGCTTCAATAGCTTGCAAAAGAAGTCTTTTAACGGGAAAATAGCATCAATGATAAATTGATGACAAAACATTTTTTTGTGTGTGCAGATATTTGGGGCAAGTCTTTATTTACTTTTTTCTTAATGACAGTCACTTCTGTGGGCTGGTAGAAAGGATTAGCAGAGATAACCTCTTTGCCCAGTAACTGTAATGAATGAAGACCACACAGTTTATCTGCTGTGCTATTAAAATGTAAAGTCCTATAACACCTTGCATAATTTGGAGTAAAAATAGCAACATACTGTGTAGAATAGTACTCTAGAAACTGTTTGCATAATCTTAATGAAATTGTTTATTACTGTACGCATGTTGAACTTGAATGAAGCAGAATATCAGTCTTTAATCTTTTTATAAAATGAGGGTGATAAAATGATCTACCTCCAAAGACTGTGACACGTAAAAGACAAACAACAAAAACATCAATCCCTTAGTTTAGAATGTGGTATTAGAATAAGCTCTTAATAAGTAGCAGCAATTATCAATATTATTCGATTAAGAGATACAATACTATATACAATTAGCAAGTGTCTCAACATGAAGTGCTGATAGAGTGTATTAATCTAACAAACTACATGCCACTTTTTTTAACTTTATTATTTTTAATTGGAGGATGATTGCTTTACAATGTTGTGTTGGTTTTTGCCACACAACAATGTGAATCAGCCATAAGTATACATATGTCCTCTCCCTCTGGAACCTCCCTTCCAATTCCTAACCCCATTCTACTCCCCCAGCAAGAAGGGAAAAAAATCCCCAAGGGACACTAAGAATCGCCCTAGTTGACTAGAGTTCCTTCTGGGCAGTGGTGACCCTTGACAGACAAATCTGTCCACATGACCTAAAGACAGTACTCTATCATGTTTTGAAACAATGCTCAAAATCAGTCTCCAAGTTAATTTTTTAGAATCACACAAAAAGTAAAGATAATCCAAAGCGGACTTGGTTTTCTCAGCATTGTTCAGTAATTGAATATAGTAGAATTTTATTCATAAACCTACATTCTAGCAAAGAAGCCAAAGTGACTAATTAATTTCTAATATAAATCTTTAAGATCTTGACGTTGTGTCTTCAACAACATCTTGTGTCTTCAATAACATCTTAACTGGCATTTTCCTGTAACTATAACAATGTGTACATAATTAAAATTACAGTACATGGTTGAGCAGGGTAGAATTCAAATTAACCAGGAAACTTCTTGATCTGTTTAAAACTCATGAGCATTTAATTGAAAAAAAAAAAAGGGAGTTTTAAACAAGTTTTAAAATTTAAAATTTGGAAGTATATACAAAGAAAAGAGATAGGAATACCAGACCACCAGACCTGCCTCCTGGGAAATCTGTATGCAGGTCAGGAAGCAACAGTTAAAACTGGACATGGAACAACAGACTGGTTCCAAATAGGAAAAGGAGTATGTCAAGGCTGTATGTTGTCACCCTGCTTATTTAGCTCATATGCAGAGTACATCATGAGAAATGCAGGACTGAATGAAGCACAAGCTAGTATCAAGACTGCCAGGAGAAATATCATTTACCTCAGATACGAAGATGACACCACCCTTATGGCAGAAAGTGAAGAAGAACTAAAGAGCCTCTTGATGAAAGTAAAAGAGGAGAGTGAAAAAGTTGGCTTAAAGCTCAACATTCAGAAAACTAAGATCATGGCATCTGGTTCCATCACTTCATGGCAAATAGATGGGGAAATAATGGAAACAGTGAGAGACTTTTTTTTGGCAGATCCAAAATCACTGCAGATGGTGAGTGCAGCCATGAAATTAAAAGATGCTTGTTCACTGGAAGAAAATCTATGACCAACCTAGATAGCATATTAAAAAAAGAGATATTACTTTGTGAACAAAAGTCCATCTAGTCAAAACTATGGTTTTTTCCAGTAGTCATGTATGGATGTGAGGGTTGGACTATAAAGAAAGCTGAGCACCAAAGAATTGGTGCTTTTGAACTGTTGGAGAAAGCTCTTGAGAGTCCCTTGGACTGCAAGGAGATCCAACCAGTCCATCCTAAAGGAGATCAGTCCTGGGTGTTCATTGGAAGGACTGATGCTGAAGCTGAAACTCCAATACTTTGGCCATCTGATGGGAAAGAGCTGCCTCATTGGAAAAGACCCTGATGCTGGGAGGGATTGAGGACAGGAGAAGAAGGGGACGACAGAGGGTAAGATGGTTTGATGGCATCACGGACTCGATGGACATAATTTTGAGTAAGCTCTGGGAGTTGGTGATGGACAGGGAAGCCTGGCATGATGCAGTCCATAGGGTTGCAAAGAGTGACTGAACTGAACACATAAACTAATTAACGAGATATTATTGTGCGACTTCAGCTGCTCAGTTGTATCCAATACTTTGTGACCTCACGGGCTGTAGCAGACAGTCTTGTCTATGGAATTCTCCAGGCAAGAATTCTGGCGTGGGTTGCCATTTCCTACTCCAAGGGATCTTCCTGACCCAGGAATTGAACCCATGTCTCTTGCATTTCCTGTATTGGCAGGCAGATTCGTTAGTACTCCACCATCTGGGAAGCCACATAGATATATAGAGATAGACAGACAGATATATATATACATGAGATATCTATCTATCATATATTAGCTATACAATATAATATTATATTGATATAATATATACTATTATATGATATTATAATATATTATTATATGATATTGTATAGCTAATTAATGTTTTTTATATATATATAATTAATTGGCCAACCCTATATTAATTGGCCAGAGTTGGCCAAAAAGTTCACTTAGAATTTTCTGTAACATCTTATGGAAAAACCCAAACAAGTTTTTAGCCAACCCAATATATGTATATATGCACACAGTATAACTTTTCCATACATATATGCATATGTATATCATATAAATATACATATTTCTATCTACATATACATATATGGCACATATTTATATAAAGATGCTAGGCTTTTCCTCTAGGCATTTTATTGAGGTCTCATAGGAATATGCCAACATTTGATTGTGAATTCAAATGAAAGTGATTCATTACGAGGGTTGTGTTAAGAATCCAAAAAGCTGAAAAACCCTACATCTCATTTAGAAACGATCTAACTTGTTTTTATTTTCCCCAAGACTTTTTGTAACAAGAAAGAGCCTATGCCTGATTTCTTAAGCATCTTGGGCTTTGGCTACTTTCTCTCTTCCCTTCAGCTGCAGATGTAGCAAAAGAGCTGTTGGAAGAAGGTGGCCAAGTGTCCTTCAGGAAAGGATTTAAGTTACTCGTGTTGGTAACAGTATGTGGCAGAAGCCAAGGACTTCTCAGTGGAGCAAAAACTTTCCAATGAACTTTTCTACTTGAGACAGAAGAA